GGTCGGCCACGGCCTGCGCCGGGCCCTCCAGCAGCTGGAACAGGGCGCCGGCCCGCGCCACGAACTCCAGAAGGACGAAGCAGGTGAGCATGCCGGCGCGGAAGACGCCCAGCGGCACCGCCTCGTGGTCGCGGCACTGGATCTTGCGCAGCAGCGGCGCCACCACCCCGTCAGGGGCCTGGCCGTCCCTGCAGACGCGCTTGAGCAGCTCGCTGTAGGTGCGCCCGTCCAGCCCCGGCCTCTTCTTGCGCCCGCTGGCGCGCAGGCACTCGTAGGCCACGCCCACGTTGTTGTTGAAGGCGGTCCTGGAGGGCGGGCCGGCGGGGTCAGCGGGGGGCCTCTGGCCCTTCACCGCCCACCTGCCTCCCCCTGTTCCCGCCTCCCCCTCCCCTCCCCAGTCCCTTTCTTTGTATTTTCAAAAAATTCATGATAAAGCTTGTCCCAGGACACAGCGGGCCTGCCCGGGGGCTGGGCACACGTGCGCCATCCTGGCCAGGGTTCGTGTACTGGTGCTGGGGCTGGCTCCCCTACCACACTCGCCTGTGCTCACACCCCTGTCTGTTTCTGGCCTGTCACTCCAGGCCGCCAGTGTGGCCATGAAAAGTCGAGAAGTGGCACAAGGTCCTCTCTCAGAGGGATTTTTTTTTAAGGCTTGCCAGAGAGAAAGCGAGAAAGCACCCCCTGGGGCGATGGCCACGCTGCAATCCCTTCTCCTCTCCTCTCTGGATTTGGGACACCCACATGCCCAGCGTGTTTCTCAAGCCATCAGGCCTGAGCTTTGAACATACTGCTGACCGTGTGGGGCCCACTGGCCCTCAGTACCATGCCGCTGCTGAGCCCGAGGGAACTTTAGAGAGCTGTGCCCTGACCCACAGCCCCCCGCCCCGCACCTCTCCTGCACTAATCGGCTCTGCTCTGGAGTCGGGCAGCCAGGGCGGAGTGCAGGCGCCTGGGCCCTGGAGGTCCCTTCTGAGCAGAGGGCTGGGCAGTGTTGGGCAGGGCCTCTCGGAGCCTCGCTCTCCTGTCTGGGGAGGGTCCTCGTCCTGCATCTTGGCATCACGTGAGAAAGGAACTGTGCAAGGTGCCAGGGCGGTGTGGCAGGTGGGGGCCCACCTGCACTGTGGTCAGCCACACCAGGCCACCAGTGCAACCCCGGGCCGGCGTGCAGGCTCCCCCCAGGTGTGCAGCCCGGTGCGCAGCCCCTGGCCCAGGCGTGCAGCTTGCGGGAGTGCAGCTCCCGAGCAGATGTGCAGCCTTCAGGCAGGTGTGCTCACACATTGGCAGAAGACATGCAGAGGTTGCTAGCCCAGGGAGGTCACCGCTGTGACTACGGGCACCCAACTTCCCCGCTGTCTCCTGTCCGCCCCTCCTGGGAGCTCCCGGGTGGTTTCTAGGGGAACTACTGGGAGTCGGGACTCGGGCCGGCTGGGGCTTGGCCTCTGCCCTGCATGTGGCTCTGGACCCTTGGCCTTGGTCTTCTTGTCTGAAGAATGTGGACAGGGTGCTGGGCGAGGGCTCCGTCTGGGCCAGCTTCTGCACACAGCCCTTGGTAAAGCGAGTGGGCATCGGGGAGACAGGCAGAGGCCTTTCTACCTTAGACGGGTTTCTCAACGGCGGCCTCCAGGGGGCACTGGGCAATGCCTGGGGACACCGTGGCTGTCAGTGACGGCCAGGGATGCTGCCTGGGCGACTGAGGCCGAGGGGCCCTGCCCTGGCCCTGCCGGAGCTTGCACGTCTTCCTGGTGCTCCGTCGGCATCCCTCTTCGCACTACTGGCAACACGGTGGCTATGAAGGAGGCCTAGGCAGGGTGGGTGCGGTGGGGGAGCACAGCTACCCTCACCAGCCCTGGAGGCCGGCACTTCTGAGTGGAACGACTCCTCTAGCCTGACCGCTGCCTCTGCTCCAGGGACAGCCCCGGGACGGCTGACCCGCCCTCAGCCGGGACGGCTGACCGGCCCTCAGCCTTGGGGCACGGCAGGTGGGGGGGAGGGGTGTCACGTGTGGCTCCCAGCTCTGCTCGGACCTGGCAGCGGCAGGG